TGAGTTGGGAGGTATAACAAGGTATAACACAGTAGTTCTGGGTTGGGAGGTGTGGCCTTGACCTCAATGTTCCTCTCGGCTTCGCCTCAAGGAAAATTGACGGTCTCGAGGAAACCAAACTTACTGTTTCCCTTGGGACCCGTCATCATGAGTGCTTAGTGATTTCCAATTAACCCATCAGAGGACATAGTTAACAAAATCCACAATAAACTTGGCCAGGCTACTTTTGACAATCAATTGAAAACGGCTATTCTAACAGCGTTAACCTCACTCAGATCGGCAGTGAAATTTACGAGTAGAAACAAGATTAGTCTCACTTTTCTTACAGCGCAGCAAAACAGAATTTACAGGACATTGAGCTAAATGAGCTAAACTCGAGTAAATTAAAGCGTGTCACTTCTTGATTGAGCTCTTCGTGTTACGCATGCAGAAGCGGGGCCTAAGTAATGTTGGAATTTGTTACCATTTCCGTGTGCTTTCACGTGAAATCCCTTACTGATATAGACAACAAGAAACAATACATTAGGCCACTGATACGTACAATCCAGTAACGCAGAGAACACGTCTATTAACATGACAAAAAGCAATAGCAACGCTACAAAGCTTGTTTGTTGGCATAGCGTAGCGCTCTTGCTACACCAGTAAAGCTCAGTAACGCTATCTGGCGTTCCATTGATAGGTAAATAAACGAAAGTTGAACTTATGCAGAGACTTGCATTGGGCGGCCAAACGGGGGCGGCGTAAGTTTCCTAGTATGTTTCCTCTACGGTCTTAGTCCCGCGCGGCCGATATCCTGCATTTCTTTCGCTAATTGATTGCTAAAACAACGAATGGACGTCAACTTGAGTTGATTTGGATTGGGTGGCCAAACATTAAAAAACTTCCATCAACTTGCGTGCAAATTTGATCTCGACCAAAGTGAGCGTAAGTCAACGGTAGTGCACGCAAGGCCAGGCCAAACGGAGTCGCAAGTAGAACCGAGTATTCAAATTGCCTCTTGCAAGTCCGTTTGGCCAGGGCTTTAGGGAGAACATCTGTGACTAAATGCATACCTTTGTTGAGTGTACAGTTTTTACCGTCTCCATAAAATCCCTGTTTGCAGGAGCAACTGTGAGACCCTGGGGTATTCTGGCAGTTAGCATTGACGTCACAGATTAGACTACCACTGCACTCGTCGATGTCTACACGACCAGAAGCAAAGCAAACCGGAACCGATAGATTAATTAATGAATCTCAAAGTGATTATGTACATATTTTAAATTATTTATTTTGATTTACGCTTAAGAAGGGTATTCTTACGCTCAGAATACTAATGTCTAAGTAAGAAAAAAATGCATGCTTGGCATATTCAGTTCACAAGCTTGAGCCCACGTGACTGGTTTTTGCTGTCTATTTGTTTGTTGTTTACTGTTTAGGGTGGGACGATTTATTGTTTGCTTGATCGTACCACAAATTTATGTGGCTCAAGTACCGTTCATGTTCAACATTTATTTGAAATCACTATCCTTAGCTCTAACTTGGCTTTGAAACTTATTTGCACTTGGGAAAAGTTACCGCACGGTGTACGTGTATGTGAATAAATCTTGTATATAAATACACTGCATTCAAAGGCTTTTTGTACTTTTTCATGGTCCTCTGCCTTTCATTGTAGTTAAAAAATTGGGCTTCACGACAGCAACCACAAAAAAGAAAAGAAAGGAAAAAAACATTAACACAATTGATTTATTTCACTTTGTTCTCACCTGTACACGTTTCTCCATCTGCTGTAAATCCTGCCATACAGGTACAACCATAAGATCCCTCTGTATTCTGACAGTTGGCATTGGCGTCACAGGCCCCAACAATAACACTGCACTCGTCCACATCTTAACATAACAATGAATAATACCAACGAATCGAGCCTTGTTTACTGTACCAATACTCATACTCATACTGTTTTCATTCAAATCAAAATGAATTACAACTTACGCTTACCGCGTATAGTTAACGTAGGCTAATCGAGGCGGGCAGTATAATAAATAATACATTAAGTCACAATAAAAAAAGAATACTGAAATTAAATTAACTTAAGCAAACACAACGACTCGAAGTAGTGATAAGTAGAACTAATCACAGAGACAATTAACATGTCATTCACATGATCTTAAACCTTTTTTCTGAAACAGATTTACAGTGTTTTCTCAAAAAATGTAGTGAACAATCGCCTGCGGCTCGTGTTTTCTAAATTTCCATCGTGTTCTGAAATGCCCGTCGTTTTTTATTACAATATAATACACAGCTTAGGCTTCTTTATTTGTTAAATGTCATGTTCTTTACATACTCTATAAGTTTTGAACTTTTCCGGTGATTTAAAGAACTGTGAAAGGGGAAGTTACCGATGCAATGAGTTTATACAATGCAATGGGAAGGAACACTTTTTGATATGCTTAGAGCAATGAAAACTTTTCGAGAGTTCTCATTAAATAAAAACAAACGAAAAACGATAAAAAAAACAAAAACAAAAACAAACAAAAAACACGCACCAAACAAGCCACTCTCACAACATCTGGGCTAGCTCACAAGAACGCTCTAAACAGCTGGACAGAACCCATTTTACCAGTGTTAGAATATATCATGAGAGTGTATACACCCTTACCAGAGCATGATTTCCCATCACCAGTAAATCCAGCTTTACAGGAACAAGAGTAAGAGCCCCAAGTATTTTGACAATTGGCATTGGCGTCGCAAGCCTCAACTGAACCACGGCACTCATCGATATCTAAAGATAAACAACAACGACCACAATCAAGTTATAATAAACATGCTTGTATAACCTCAAATGCATGGAAAGCTGTTCTCTATTCATCGATAAGAACATAGCACGTGTCGTACCTTTAAAATATCATATGTATAATCTCCTAGTGCAACAAAACGCACTCAATCAGTTATTATTACTATTATTATTATTATTATTATTATTATTAGCGTACAGTCAATAAAGAACTGACAAGTAAGTAACTCAAGGAAACTTCTATTAATTTCTAATTGTCTGGCATACAGCGCAGTAGATGAAGTACTTAAACTAAATGGCTGCCATGTTGACACAGCTGAGGGAGGATTTATTATTCTTTCGGCTGTAGTATTTGAGCATCTGTACTTTATTGCGTTACTTCATCAAATTCGCCTTGCTATCAGAACACTTGATTCCCATTCCACTCTCGGAATTCGCGTTAAACTAAATTTCACTCTCACCAGTGCAATATTTCCCGGCAAATCCGACTTCACAAGAACAGATATAAGAGCCCTCTGTATTCTGACAGGTAGCATTGGCGACACAGACAGGAATGGAAGCTTTACACTCGTTAATATCTGCAACCAGATTTATTTTATTTTAGTTTATATTTTATTCAATTATTATTATTATCATTATTTTTTGATTAATGATTATTTAAAAATTTGCATTTATATTACGCAAGTTACATGAATATATGATCACCTGCGCATTACAAAATTAGTTAGCTCTAAAACGATTAAAAACTAAAAAAGTATAATAATGTAAAATGAGCTAAAACTACAATAAAAATTAAATAAATAACGATTAAATAACTACTGATAAATATAGATAGACGCAAACACATGAATAAATGAATAAATAAATAAATAAAATCAATTCTAATTAAATCATAGTTATAAAAGCTATCCTAAATAAATGGGTTTTTAACATATTCTAAAAATTACCCAAAATTCTACTGTTGCGAATTCTCCCAATGTTCTCTTTGCTCGCTCTCGTGGCATCTCAAGGAGGAGCTCATTGTTCGATCTCAAAGAATAGCGCGTTGTACTCTTGATACTAGTTTAATAATTGAAATGTATCATAACTCTAATTCTAAATTGCACTGGCAGCCCGTGAAGCATGAAAAGCACAGCTGATATATGATCAACACGGGAAAAAATGCAAATTAGGCGCGCGCGATGTTTTGGTCACCCTGTAGCTGTGTTTGCTCGTGTCATGTTGATCAGTTCACTTTTCACATTTCATTACCAAGCTTTAAATTCACCATCTTTATTCATTTATCACACTCACGATGCCTTCGACAGTGCTGATCCTAGCAATATGCAGGACGTCTGTCACATATGAACTAAGTTAAATGACCTTGCTCTCCATGAGTTCGCGTAGCTCAGTGGATAGAGCACCCGCCCGGTGTACGGAAAGCCACGGGTTCGATTCCTGCCGGGAACTCAGATTTTTCTTTGTCCCACTATCGTGTCGTGTCGATCAGCTCACTTTTCACATTTCATTACCAAGCTTAAAATTCACCATCTTTATTCACTTATCATATAACAAACAATTACACTAGTCAATCCTACTTGTAACTAGAACATGTACTAACTTCGTAGTTGATTCAGTTGATAGATACTTTCTCATTTATCTATTTTTTTGCAGGTGGAAATAAGACGCACTACAAATCTTATTGATATGTGTCTCCTTACTAAAATGCTGATCAAGCCAGCAGCCCAAATT